TCGTGGGTAAGAACCTCACTTCTTCAGATGCAAGTCTTGCATCTGAAGAAGTGAGGTTCTTACCCACGAAAGCTTATGCTCCCAATACTTCTGTTAGTCTTAAAGGCGCCACAGGACCCTCTGTTGCTTTTTTACAAAAACCAGGCTGCCTCCTCTCCAGTCAGCAAGATATCTATTTTTTTCCTGACAGACTTTCTTGCACTCCGCCCCACCAGCACTAAAGTGAGGCTTGTTTATGTACAATTTTCAGAAGTGACTAGTATTTTTGAGGGCAGCCAAAAATGGGGAGACTTGTGAAACAGTTTAGAGGAGCATTATATTCAGAGAGTGGTGCTTAGCACTTTCTAAAAGCTGGGGCTCTTTAGTGTCTCAAGTTAGGCACCTAACTGTTCAGGCATCCAAAATCTATTCCTCTTGAAAATTTAAGCCAATGTTTCCAGGAACCCAAGATGTAATTCAATCCCCAGAATGATAATGAACATCCACCAGTTCCTAACCCTCAAAAGAAGGGCCTATAGCTGAGCCTGGACTTAGTGACTTCAGGCTCCAGGAAAACTAATTGGTCAGTTGAAAGGAGCCAGGATGCATGCCCTTAAGTTGCTCAGTGTTTTTTCATGAAGCTGCCATCACCCCTGTACTTGCCTTGCTCCTGCCTTGTTTCTAACCTTGCTCTGACCAAGCCCCAAGCCTTTGCCCCAGGCTGAGTCTCTGCTTCTATCCAGGTCATTCTGCTTCTGACCCTTGTTGCCAATTGCTGGCCCTGGATCTGGACTATAGCTCTCACCCATTGCTCTGGTTCCTGGTCCCTTCTCATTTTGTCTCCAGCCACTAGACTAGATTGCCCACATCCCAGTCCTAAAACTAACTGACTAATTTTAACTTTGTACCATTTATTTATTGAACAACAAACATCTAATTCTCTTTATGACTTAAACAGAAGCAGTCAGATGATCAGGATCATACATCTTGCTGTCAAATTCAGAGACATTTATGAAAGACACCAATAATTTATTCAAACAGTAGCTGCTAACTGATTTTGAGATGCTAAAACTAAGTCAGATCCTTGCCCCCAATATGTCAATTTTGGGCAAAGTGAAGGACTTAATGTAGCTGCCACTGAAGTCAATAGGAGTTTTTTCACTGGTCAGAGAATGTCCCTTTTGTAGGGAAATCCTCCAGTGGCATAGAGGTGCCCTAAACCCTGCTGAAATAGTTCAGAGTTAGGGCCATAATGTGCATTGACACAGGAAGTATCTATTGATATATTAATTTCATAAGCTAAAAATGATTTCCTAAATATTTCAGGTCAACTAACAGGTACTCAGCTGACAACACTTAACCTATTAGAATGACAGTAAATAAAATAACTTCTAGTGCAAACTCAGTCATTAAATGGCAAAAAGTTTAGAAAACTATTTCGCAGAGACACATTTCCCATCCACATATATAAGTGCACTCTATTCACAAAACTACAGTTTGCCTTTAAGAACTTCCTTTTTTATCAAAACTTCAGAGATCAGAATGGATTTTTGTTTGTTTATATAAGATACTCTGAGAAGCTGGTTCTAGTATTGACCCTCTTGTTCTGTTAGATTCTGAAGTTGCACTGCCAAGGGGAAAAAATGTGGTGTGTCCCCCTGTAAAACTCTTGCTGTTTTCTTTGGTGTTTTTCCCCCTATGTCTGTCTCTAAGAGCCTGCATCTAGGTGAAGGCTGTGTTTTGTTTTTCTGAATAGGAACAGCTGAGAGGAAGACTGTGTCCAGAAGAAAGAACTTAAATCAGTCTAACAGGTGCTCTAAGGCCAAGGCTGTTGTGCAGCCAGAGGAGTAAGAGGAGAAGGACTTTGCACCTGAGCTGTCACTGATATACAAGAAAATTGGGTAATTAAATACAAGAACTTTGGGGGTAAATTTCCCAGACTTTCTAATGGTTTCACTCTATGCTGAGCTGAGAGGTGATGAACAACTGTCCTGTGAAACTCCACTGTATTTTTTCCAGAAATCTATTTAATGAGTTGAAATCCATTATCTGTCATGAGCAATTCCATTACACTGTAAACTTAATAGTACCCAGAAGAACATGTGTACACTTCCTACAGCATCTGCTGTAATTGACTTTTGATCTATTGCTGAGCTCACGTAAATGGGCGGGAGTTATCTTGTGGTCATGAGAACTGCTTCCAAATCTGTTCTCAGGGAAAACTATATTAACAGAAAAATCTATGGCATTGGTTACAAACTGAAATATTTGAAAACTACCAAGACATCCATGTCAAAGCATAAGTAGACACAACCATCTAAATAGGGCTGGACAAAACTTTTTTCCACAGGAAAAAAAAATGCAGATTCAGATTGATGTAACACTTTGAATGCTTTTGACTTTTTTGGCAAATTGTTTCAGTCAAACAAAGTTTATCTTGGAAATTTTTCATTTTAGGCTAGACTTACAAGGGATTTAGGCATCATTCACAACATCAAGAGAGCATTGGTGCTACCATCTTAAGCCTATTAGCCTCATGGTTGGGATATATACCTGGTATGTAGGAGACATAAGTTTGAATCCTTACTCTAGAGGAGGGACTTGAATACAAGTGTCTTCCCTAACCACCATGCTATTGCATACTGTGCGCGCTCTCTCCTCCTCCCCGCCCCCATCCTGTTGAAGCTGCTTCACTTTGACTACTCAAATCTTTTACACATTAAGCCAGAGAGAATGACTCTGCAGCCCAGCTGTTAGGGCATTCACCTGGTGGCGGTTGGGAACATCTGGTCTCCAGTTCCTGCTTCACTAAATGTATGTTTGTTTATACAAAGTGGAACACCTTCAACACGAGCCAATGAGAGAGCCCCTCCCAAGAATATCCAATAGCACCGCACTTAACACACTCATGCACAGTAAGAGAGACCCAGTTGCAAGTCTCTGCTGTGCTCTGGAGCACAGCCATAAACCCAGGTGTCTGTGTGATAAGGAACAGGTTCTAGTTCTCCGTGTTCATTTATTTACTGTATTTCTATAGCCATTTCAACTATCCCTTATTTAAATAAACTATTCATTACATAAACTATGCTAGGTTGTTACATAAAATGATCACTGATGCTTCCAGAAATGTGTTGAAAACTAAACAGAGAAAATAAAGTTAATAAAAGAAAAACAAACAAATCTTGATCAATAGAAGCCAAACCCACTGAGTATGCCTTCTATCATGACTTTAAATCTATGGCAGATACTCAAGGATAGTGGGTTTTCTAATGACAGCCCATTATAGTATCCACTCAGCAGTATTATGAAACTTGTGTCGCTACTTGACTGGGACTTTTCAGCTTGGAAAAGAGGTGACTAAGGGGGGATATGATAGAGGTCTATAAAACCATGAGTGGTGGGGAGAAAGTAAATAAAGAAGTGTTATTTACTCCTACTCATAATACAAGAACAAGGGGCCACCAAATTAAATTAATAGGTAGCCGGTTTAAAAACAAACAAGTATTTTTTCACGCAATGCACTGTCATCCTCTGGAACTCCTTGCCAGAGGGTGTTGTGAAGGCCAATACTATAATGGGGTTCAAAAGAGAGCTAGATAGATTCATGGAAGATAGGTCCATCAATGGCTATTAGCCAGGAAGTGTGTCCCTAGCCTCTGTTTGCCAGAAGCTGGGATTGGGTGATAGGGCATGGATCACTTAATGATAACCTGTCTGTTCATTCCCTTTGGGGCACTTGGCATTGGCCACTGTCAGATGGACCTTTGGTCTGACCCAGTATGGCTATTCTTATGTACCTCACAATAGTGAAGCATGCACTAGCTTGTTCCTGTTAATACTGGGAGTTAACATGGCAGATGAGAGAGTACAGCTCCAGCATGGAACAGAAATTGCAATTTTTGTATTTCAAAGGATCACAGGGTGGGAGAAGATCCAAAACACTTGATAAGCAGAGTCAGCAGCACAAGTATGATGTGTCAGAGACAATGAAAGTCCTTAAAAAAGAGCAGTCTCAGGGCAACACAGGAGAAACCAGGGAAAGAGAAAATAGTAGCTAATGGATTGTGGAGGTTTGGCAGAGAATAGGAAAAGACGACAGAAGAAAAATAGGTAGGGACACTTGGAAGAGAAAGCAATATAACTGGGGAAGATAAACAACCAGCAACCACTCTTGAGATCACTATACCTTGTACTGAGGTTTAAATCACAGTGAAGCTGTTCACAGAGCAGAATATATTTGGGCATCTGAGCCATATTTCTGATGTTAGTCCACTAACTTAGGAAACGCCATGGTAAGACAGAGGTGGTAAGACAACTCCCACCTGTTTATGCTCTCTGTATGTGTGTATATATATCTCCTCAATATATGTTCCATTCTATATGCATCCGAAGAAGTGGGCTGTAGTCCACAAAAGCTTATGCTCTAATAAATTTGTTAGTCTCTAAGGTGCCACAAGTCCTCCTGTTCTTCTTTTCATGGTACTTTGTTAGCCACTATATACATGCTTTGCATGTATAGTTTTTTAAAGTACTGAATGACTAGGTGGTCAAACTTGCAAATAAATTCGGAAAGGTACCTCAGATTAGAAATGGGGATGGTAGCTCTTTTAAAGGAAAACTGCAGTATTTGCAGTAATTCCATCATTAAATATCTAGTACTGTATATTATTTTTCAAAACAATTTTTAGAAATACCTATCTCTAGTTCAATGTCTCTTATTATTTTGCAGTATGATGGTGTCTTGAGGTCCCAGACAACATTGGAGTCCCATTGTGCTAGATGTTGGGCAAACACACAGTAAAATACAGTCTCTGCCTGTGTATAAACTCCACATTGGAGAAGGGGTTAAGGAGCTGTTCTGGAGCCAGGCAGCACCACCTCCAATGCATGTACTGGCTGGAGGAGGAACTTAAAAGGAGAGCAGAGTAGCTCATGTGCAGGCAGGCAGTGGAGGTGAGTAGGCCTATCCTCTGAAGTGCTGTAAGACAAACACTATGGGGGGGCTCAGCTGCCCCCGACTATGGATCCTCTGACTGACCAGTCGAGGGGAAAGGACTTTGGGTGTTTGCAAGGTCACAGACACATTCTTTGACTTATTTTGTTTACATGTCTTTGCTGTTCCCTCTTGTGTGGGGAGGCTGGTAGGAAATGATCCAGGGACACAGCCACATAGCATTCCAGCGTGCAGGACTTAGCCACCTATCTTTGGGCCCAGGCTTAGAATCCAGTGGAGAGGGTGGGCCTGGGCTCCCTTACCCAGCCCCTGATGGAACTGGAGACAAAAAGCCTATCCATGATACCAGAGACCTTATATGACAGTTTCCAAATCCTAACTGAGGGACAAGTCACAGAAGGGGACAGACGCTGAAGGGCAGGGATGGCTGTCAACAGGGGGCAAGACAGAAATGCCTATCACTTCCTTGCCCTACTGCCTACATAGTATCTAAAGGGAGCAGACCCCTTCGCACTGCTCCAAAAATAAAGAGTGAGGAAAAGGAAGTAGACTATAACTATATATGTTAACAGTATCCTTCTCCTGTGAGTGCTCTGTCTTGCTGATACTGGTGCTTCATCGGACAGGATCTCCTGCTAAGAAATAGCAAATATGAATCACCATTGGAGTTCATGTGAAAGGCAGAGACTCTTGTACAGTAATGGTGTCCAGCTAGAAGTCCTGATCATAATGTATAAGAACATGGTCTCAGAGTAGCAGATGCTTCCTCTCATACAAGATTTGTCAAGTGGTTTCATGGAATATACAGACCTATTGGCCAGTCCCCACATTCCAGTTCACAAATCTATCTCATGTCCCAGCAGGCTGATCTGCCATAAAGCTCTGTTTTATGGCATGCAATGGAGTATAGGAGCTACTTACAGTCATGGATGTAGGGCTCTTAGGATTCTATCCAAAGTCCCTTGACATTAAGGGAACTGTGTAAATAGTGGGGTTTTTTTTGGTTTGCTGACAATCCTGAAAAAAGGGGGGGTGGGGGTGGAATCTTATTGGATTGACCCCAAATTGATTTTTATTAAAATTCTTGGAGAATCAAAGTTTTGTTTGGAGCTGAATAAACATTTTCAACGTTGAACATTTTATGTTCATTGGTTAGACATTTCCTTCACATTTATATTAAACAATGTTCTTCAAACTGAAAAAATGGCTAATGTTGGTATGGTGGGTCCCACACTTTTCTTGGTGGTGGGGCCACCACTTGCCCCAGCTCTTGTGGCACCACAGGTCCCACTAGTGGCCCACGAAGTTGGTAGAGAAGGGAAGGGGGTCTCAGTTTGCTCCTCACTCTGAGCCCCAGCCCCTCTCAACTCCTGCAGGTTTCTTATCCTCTTCCTCCTTGGGTAAGGTTACCCTCAGTCCTTAATACAGGGTGGGTGGGTGGGTGGGTGTATGTCTGTTCCTCCCTTCCTTCCTTCCGTTCTCAGGTTTTTCAATTCTCAGCAACACACCTCCAAACTCCAGTCCTCTCTTCTTCCTCACTCTACCCTGTCTGCCTGAAGCAGGGTTTTTTTTTTAATTAGGTCCTGACAGGGCCTTAATTGGCTACATGTGCTCCAATTAACCTGCAGTAACCTTCCCTAGTCTATAGGGATCCACGCCTTAATTAGCCTAGGGCTTATATATCTCCCCTCTCCCTGGTTCTGCTGTATCACAAAACCAGAGAAATGAAATATAGTATTTTGGTTTGAAAAATGTTAAAACATTTCTGACTTTTGGAAACATTTTTTTTTTAAACAGTTTGGCAAAATTGACATGAATTCATATATTTCAGTGTCACCAAATCTTCATCTTTAATAAAAAAAAGGCTGAAAAATGTTCCCAGCTCTAATTGGGAGTCTTCCATTGACAAGAGTGGTCCCTTACTGTTTAATGTTGCTGAAATAATTG